CCACCAAACTAGCTGCTGCTGGACAAAGCTCTTTCTCACTCTTTCAAAGCATCAACATTCGTCACACTCCTCAGGAGGCCTCCCAGGAGGAATACCTGATGGTGTCTTCACGCAGGCGAAGAGGAGTGCCAGGAGCTGGCAGCTTGAAGGTGTGCGTGGTGGGGAAGGCCTGACCTCCGAAAGATCTGAAGAAGCATCTTTTTACAGTCTTCCCTGTTCTGCCGCCCCAAGCCACAAACACCTATCTGTTTCCAGAGCACGAGCCTTGCCAAGGACTTTCCCGCTGGGTGTGGCCCTGCTCTGGCCGGGGCTCGTGTGGGGAACTTGTCGATTTCTGGAGCTCAGCTGACCTGCCCTGCCGAGCTCCGGCCACTCAGGTGTTTTCTGGGCAGGTGCCACGTGGGCCCCTGTGCCCCTTGGCCACCTGCTGCTGGGGCGCAGCCATTCCTCAGTTACAGAGCCGGCCAACCAGAGGCGCCACTACACACTGTCAGACTCTCTCCCTCACTGTTTCCCATTTAAACCCAATGTCCACGATCCCATGGCAGGCGTTGTTTCTGGCCGTGGGAGCCAGCGCGGGTGTCCACAGGCAGGCAGCATGGAGCAGACTCCACCTGGCTGAGGCCGCAGTGTCCTGGGTCAGCCACGTTCCTCTGAGGCAGGAGGAGAGGCAGACCTGGGTGGCGGCAGACGAACATCTCTTTCTCCAGCCTGGTCACAGCAGAGAGCTGGCCTCGCAGGTCCAGGGGAGGCAGGGGCTGCTGGCTGCTCGTGAGGACTTGTCTTTGACAGCAAGGCTCCTGGCCCTCATCCTGTAACTGCAGAGGGAGCACAGACGGCAGGCTCTCTCTCTCCTGGCAAGCTGGCCATGGAGCCTGCCGTCCTTCTATGGGACGGTGACATCTCAGCGTCCCCCACCGTCCCTCTGCTTGTTCATGTCCCGCAATAAACCTTATTTAATAACTCACCATGCAGAGCTGCTGTGTACATCCACGTCCCCTTGGCAACAACAGAGGCCACCAAAGCCACACAGTCCACGTATCTCAGTGGCACATGGTCGGAAAATGGAGTTTCGCTGGAACCTCACACAGGCCTGAGGTGCCTGGCGAGAAGCACTGAGCCCCAGCCATTGCCACCTGCAGAGCCTGCCCTGTGCCTCTCCCGTGGGGTCTGCAGGCCGGCGACTTCCCTACTCCTAAGCCCCACAGCTGTCACCTTGGCTGGGCTCTAGGCACCCAGAAGTTGGGGTGCAGTGTGAGAAGAATCTAAAGAGGATGGAGGCCTCTCTTTCCTCCTGGACGTTCATATTGACGGAGCCGGTACACTCTTACTCTTCGCCACACCTGCTTTGACCTTGGAGGACAGATGGATGGTCCGTGTTGCTCACACTAAGGATGCCGATGGACATGAATTTGCACACTCCCATCACCTTGGGTGGCCCCATAGCCACTTCGCTACTGAACTCCAGAAGTGTCTTCTAAGTCCACTTCCTCCATGGTTCGAAAGCCACAGAGATGTCCCTTGCTCCATCACTGTCACGGCAAAGGACATAGGGCGGATCCCTCTCTTGGAAGCTGGTGTCCCCTCTGCAGACAGCGTCATCTCAGAGGAGTTGTGCTTTCCTTCCCTGCTCCCACTCTGCTGCTAGTTTCCGCCAATAAACCTTATTCTATTATGGCTGCACCATGTGGTGTGGGTGGTGTCTCTGTGCCCCTTTGCATGACAGTTCACATTGATGTCTCAATTATAAAATTTAAAATTAAAAGTTCACAAGGATTAGTGAAATTATCAACAAGGAACTCAAATTTTAAAAGTGGGGAGCAGTGGCTGGCTGTAGGAGTCTCAGTCCCCAGTCCCTATCCCCAAGGTTGTAAGGTGAGCATCATAGAAATGTTTCTCATAACCCCACTCCCCCTTCTGGCCCCAGCCCAGCCTCCTGTCCCCATGTCCTCTGTCAGGAAGACTTCTGTAGGGTGGCGCTAAGGACCTCCTTTTCATTAAAGTCAGCAGATGCTTCTCAGAGCTCGCCCTCTGGCACTGACCACCTCCTCCTCGATCCCTCCTCTGGGCTCACCACCCATCCCTGCATTCCCTCCCAGTCTCCCTCAAGGGATTCTCTGCCCCTCCACCCAACCTATAAGCCTGGAGGTTGGTGTTCTGGAAACTGGACCTCAGTCCTTTGGGGCCCAACCACTTTCAAGGTTCATGGTTTGTCAGTCTGCAGCACCAGCTTGGCCGTCCTTTCTGCAACCAAACCGGTGTGTCCTGCTGCCTCCAGGGCCCTGGCCCTGGGTGTCCGGGGAGAACCAGAGGCAGGCAGCAGAAGGGAGTGTCTACCTGTTGTCCTCCTCCTCTGAAGGCCCCAGGACACAAGTAGAACCCAGAGCCATCCTCGACATGGTCCTGCCTGTCCCTAAATGCCTCATCAGTGTGTCCACCAGTGCCATCCTGCCTAGTTCTCTTTGTCCCTGGGTATCCGGTGAGCACCAGAGGCAGGCAGCAGAAGGGAGCGTCTACCTGTTGTCCTCCTCATCTGAAGGCCCCCGGACACAAGTAGAACCCAGAGCCATCCTCGGCATGGTCCCGCCTGTCCCTAAATGCCCCATCAGTTGTGTCCACCAGTGCCATCCTGCCTAGTTCTCTTTGTTTTTGTTTTTAGTAAAAGCTCTATTGAGATACTAGAGGCCCAGTGCATGGATTCATGCACCCGTGGGGTCCCTCAGCCTGGCCCGCGCCCTCTTGCAATCCAGATCCCTCGGGAGATGTCGGAATGTGGTTTAGGCCTGATCCCTGCAGGCCAGGCCCTGTGGGGATCGGCTGAAACCGGCAGTCCGATATCCCTCGAAGGATGTAGTAGTGACCAAAGCAGCAGGTGGCATTGGAGAAGCCTGAGCCCTCCCCACTCATCCAGGCCCAGCTGCGCCTGCCACCCAGCGCCTAGCACCCGAAGGTCAGCTGAGCGGCGCTCCCGCTGTGGGAGTGCAC